TCTCTCTCTCTCTCTCTCTCTCTCTCTCTCTCTCTCTCTCTCTCTCAATCCGCGCCCACCTACACCCTCTCTCGCGAGCCTCTTTCTTGGCTGTGCTTCCTGAACACGTCTTTCCTCTCCCTCCGACCTTCTCCCTCCCATCTCTCTGTCACACCTCTCATCGTTCTTTCTGACCCTCCCACCTCTATTCACCCCCGTCTTCCCGCTTTCTTTCACCTCTCCGTCTGCTCTCTTCCTCCCCTTCTCTGCTTGTATACACACACACACACACACACACACACACACACACACACACACACACACACACACACACACACACACACGCACACAAACACAACAAACACACACACACACACACCAAACACACACGCACACACATAAACACAACAAACACACACAAGCACACAAACACGGACATGCACGGACGGACGCAACTACATACTTGTAGGAATATACGGGGAAGAAGCCGAGATTTTCACATCTATCGATTATCCAGCCACTGCATAAACATCCAACTAAAATCTCATATCCTAACAAAATACCTACTCGTTTGCTGCGCAGCTCTGGTCGTACATATGAAGCCCAAAGCACTCACTTATGAGCCTCACATTTCGGCGACAAAAGAGTTTCCACAGAATCGAGCACCCAGGGCCGAGGAGAGAGAACATCCAGCGGCGCAACGGCTAGTGACACTCGGCCTGGACCTCCATCATAGCATTCCCCAGCACTCGAAAGAGACAAAAAAAAAAGAGTTCCCACAACAATCGAGTACCCAATTCTGAGATTAGATAACATCCAGCCCCTCAACAGCTAATGATTCGACCTGGACCTCCATTATCGCAATCTACAGCAGTCGAAACTCATCTCCTTTCTTCTCTCAGATCTCCTCCGACGGAAAAACTAAAACCCACAAAGAGTGATCTGCGAACCCTCGAAGAAAGATCTGCGACCCGCAAAGAAAGATCAACGAATCTACGAAGAAAGCTCTGCGAATCTACGAAGAAACATCTGCGAATCTACGAAGACAGATCTCGAAACCCACAAAAAAAGATCTGCGATCCAATCCTTTTCCAGACCAATGGCGATAAGAGGAAGACTCGATCGCTCTACCAAAGGGAGAAAGAGGAAAGACTCGGTCTCTCACGAAACGTTCCTCCTCCGAGAGCTCCGTTTCCCATTTCCGATCGGGAAACGGCAGATGCATAACGCAAGCCGTCACATATCCTTCGCATGTCGGCATTCTGTGTTCGACTGAGTGTCAGTTTGCCACCCCTACCCGGGATCCCGACGGCAACTTTGGTGTTCTTGCGGGTGGCCAGGCAACAGGAGCTAGCTCAAAGACAAAACGCCATCATGACGCTCGCCCGCTATCTCTCCGTCACATACATCCGTTCATCATGACGCTTATCTGAACGCCTGGCACAACAAGGCTCTTCTCTTACAGAAGCACATGGACGGGGGGAGCTAGCTACACAACATCATCTGTAGAGTGGAGGCAGCCAAAAGAGAAAAAAGAAGGGACGACAGCAAGAAAATCCCCTGCACGCTCTACATCTTTCTCGACCCACCCTCTCATTTGTTCTCTGTGTCCCCTCACCTACACGAGACATTACGCGTGGGAGGCAGCTGAATTACATCATTCATGGAACGCACCCACTCAAAAGAGAAGAAAAGCACCTCTGCCCCCTCACCTGCACGAGACATTCGGACTGGGAGGGAGCTAAACAACAACATACAGTAATTCATAGAACGCACGCACCCAAAAGAGTAGAAAAGCGACAGCATGGACTTTCCCTCTGCGGGCTCTAGTCCTTTCTTGACCGATCTCTCACCTCTCCCCTGCACGAAACATTACGCCTGCGACCACCCTCGCCTGCCAAGTGACACACCAATCCCTCCCCCTCCAACTCAGCCTGCCGTTTGCCCACTTACCCGGCCGGCTGGATGATCGAGTCCTTCCGTCCCTACATGTCGGAATAATACCTTCAACGACAGTGCCATCGTTCTTTCCCTGTATGAAGACCCATTCATTTCCCCTCTCCTCAACCGAGAGGTTTCTACGACATAAAGACGGAGCGAGACAAGGAGACAGGAAAAGAAATTTATTAGAACAGATTGATTAGCGAGAGGCGGCGAGAAGAGCACACGAAAAGAGCGAGGGGGAAGTAAGAGCAAGAATATTCGACGAGACGGCAACGAAAAACAAGGTCGCGCAGAACGATTCACAGCAAATGAGCAAGATAATGGAGGAAAGAAAAGAGGATAGGCCAACAAATTTTAGGCGGGAGCAATACCAACTACAAGAGTAGACAAGGCAACCAGAGAAGGAAAGCAACAAGACACTGAATGAGAAACGGTAAGAGGCAAAAAAAAAAAAAAAAAAACACCCGGTAAGAGGCGATGAGAATACTAATGCCGCGATGACATGACTCCATCCATGAAAACGATGCCATAAGAAGACACGATGAGGAGGATCGACAATGGTGGGCGACTCATTACACCGAACGAAAGGAAGATGAAGAGCGGAGGCGAGGAGTTGGAACATAACAGATACAACGGCCACGAGAAGAGCCGATCAGCCAAAAAAAAACAACGGAGAAATGCGAGGAGAAAACGGTAACTTGGCTCAGTTGGTACACCCATGAACTGCTGAAATACAGACCTGACTTCGAATCCAGATGATAGAGCTTCATTCATGAGTAACACCAAATATTTCTGAATTGCCCGGGGCCGGTCAGCTACATGATGATATGTCAGGCCGTTGCCCTTTAAAAAGAGGGAAAAAGGGAAGTCAAAAAAAAGGAGTCCATCCATAGAGAGGAGAGAGAATGGCACGACGAGAACACGCGATCAGCAAGCGTCTGAAGCGGGGATGGGAAGAGGCGATACGAAAAGTAAGTGAGGACGTCAACGAGACGCGATACAATGGCGCCACCCCGTGTGAGCAAGCGGGGTTCAAGGGGAGAAGAACATGGTGCTCAGGATGTTTTCATATACGGACGAGCTAATCGCCAAGAGTAGGAAGAGCAGATGGAAGTGACGAGGAGGATGGTGATGGTGGCAGCAAGAACTGAAGCGATAGAATCCAATTAGGACGTCGGTCCACAGAGAAGAACGGACAGCCCATCTCAAGCCGAAGACGAGAAGAATTTGAACAGCCGAGCCTATGGACTCGGCTAGATAACCGTTCGATCTGGCAGCAAGAACTGAAGCGATGGAATCCAATTAGGACGTCAGTCCAAATTTGCTTCCCGCTGCATTCAGCCGATGAAGATCAGGGTCATCAAGCAGGAGGAGGGGTGTGGCAGACATCGCGCCTTGCAGAGAGTCTAAGAAAGAAAGTCGTGGCAGGAAGAGAAAAGAGGAGGGAGATCCCGAGAGACAATGGAGGAGATGAGGGAGGAGGGGTAAGACAGCAGAAGAAAGAGCAGAGAAGACGACATTACAGGATTCTGGAGAGATGAAACATGAGACGAGACGCATTGGGAAGTCGGAATCAGGGAAGGAGTGGTACATGGGTAGAAAAGGGAGGGGAAACAAAAAGAAGAAGAGACCGAGAGAGAGAGAGAGAGAGAGTACATAGAGGTCAGAGAGACCACGCACGACTCAAGAGCAACTACCAGAGACGGTGATCGACGACGACGTAGGCAGGAGGACGAGCGGCGGCATTGCGGATCACAGAGAAAGAAGGACACAGGTGTTCAGCACTCTCACTCGATTTTCAAGCACCGGCATCGAGAAGAGATCGGTGTAGCGAGAACTGGAGAGAGGCAGAGGACGAGGAGAATTGTGAAGAAACTGACCGGGTACAGAGACGAAAAGAAGAGAAGGGCCAGAAATACGGAAAGACGAGCAGCGTAGACAAGGGCAGTGGAGAGAAGAAACGAGAAATGAGGAAACAAGGCAAGAGAAGACGAGAGAAGAAGACTAAGTAACGACGAAAGAGTAGAATTGGAACCGATTAAAGAAAAGGACCGTGATCAAGAAAGGTGGAATGTAGGAAAATCCCCCACGAAGAAAAAGCTGTCGATAGAGACAACGCAAAAATTGAGGTCAAGGTAACAAAAGAGGCAACGCCACAGTCAGTGGGAGGGATGGGAGGGGAGAGGAGGGGAAGGGAGGGGAGGGGGGGGGGGGGGGGGGGGGGGGGGGGGGGGGGGGGGGGGGGGGGGGGGGGGGGGGGGGGAAGAGAGGGAAGGGAAGGGGAGGGGAGTGGGAGGGAGAGAGCGGAGAGGCGAGAGGCCATGCACACAAGGCAAGTGGGGGCTCGTTCCTAACCTTCACAGGGGAGAAGGACTTGGAGGGCACTAAGCCGGCCGCTTGCTTGGGGGAAGCAGCACGGCAAGGCGCCTTGGGATTTGACTGGCCCCCACCACTTCCAGGCGAAATCGGGATCTGCGCCAGAGGAACGGGCGATGGAAGCCCAGTGACCGGTCGCCGAGCCTTCGCTTGCAGACTGCGAGCGAACTCCCGGAAAAATGGTGTCGTGTGCTTCTCATGATGCTGCATCCGCTTTCCCTGTTGCTGCTGCTGCTGCTGCTGCTGCTGCTGTTGATGTTGTTGAGAGTGCTGATGATCCGGCCGGCCATCAGCCTTTAGAGAGCTGCAAAAACCCGAAGCCCGCCGCTGCCACAGCCAAGGTCGGCCTTCGGTTTTCCAAGAAGACGCCTTCTTGAGCTCCATATCCGCTGAGCACAAAAAGGATGGGCTTCGCCCTCTCTCTCTCTCTCACACACACACACACACTCACCTCCCACCACGACAGGAACAAAGATCAACTACACATCCTCTACGTCAAGCAGACCACACAAAACGCCCCCTTTCCTCCTCCGGCTTTTCCCTCCCCACCGGTTACCACCGCTACGACTTCAGTATCTAACGAAGACCCCACCTGTTAACCACCTCCACTCTCCCTCCCCAACTACCGACACTATCGACTCCTGCTTATACTACACGGCATCAGATCAACTACCTCCGCCAATCTCGCCTTCTCCCCCAAAAATAACCCCTCTCCAACCCCGTCACCTGTCTGGTGTTGTCGTTCTCCTCTACGTGGCTATCTTCGTTCCTCCCGCAAACCAATGCACGGAATGGAAACCCACGCGCACTGCATTGCCCGACACTGCCACCCCAGGCGGGAAAGGCCACGAGGAGAGCAGCGAGGATCCGAGAGCCGGTCGATAACCTCCCCCTCCCCCGCACTCCCGACCTCCCATCTTCTCTCTCGATGCCTGGTTGGAAGCCGAAAACGACACCCCTCCTGTTGATGATCCTTGCTGACCACTCCCGTCAGTAGGCGCACTGAAACCAGCAACCTGCAGCCCAGCAAAGAGCAGGGCTGTGCATCTCCACATCTCCCGCCATGACAGGTATCCACTGAACCGCCTTCCGAGATCAGAAATTCCCCAGGATCTTCCCGCCCTGGGTTCCCCGTCTCTCCCTGCCCGCCCTGCCTTCCCCGTCTCTCCCTCCCCACCCTGGCTTCCCCGTCTCTCACTTCCCTTCCCTCCCTTTTGCTCGCGCTTGTATCTTTCCTATCTCGATCCTGTAAGGGTCTGCTAGTGGCCTCTCTGTCAGCACCCACCCGCCTGCTCTTCTGCCTGTCTGCTCCCCCGCATGTCTGCTATCCTCTGCGCTCTCTCTCTCTCTCTCTCTCTCTCTCTCTCTCTCTCTCTCTCTCTCTCTCTCTCTCNATCCACCAGCGAAAATCCCAGCAATTGCCTTCGAACACTCTAAAGTGCAAGAGGGTCCTAACACCCTCAAAGTCCTCGTCTCCAGCTCCTCCTATGCCACGTCACTTTCTATGAAACTTGAATCCTCGTGCTCGCCACTCCTGCGAACTCACTCTCTCTCTCTCTCCCCACAGTGTGCCAGTCCCGCTATCCCGCTATCCTGCTCCAGCTATCCTGCTTCCGCTCTCTCTCTCTCTCTCTCTCTCTCTCTCTCTCTCTCTCTCTCTCTCTCTCTCTCTCTGCTATCCTCTGCGCTCTCTCTCTCTCTCTCTCTCTCTCTCTCTCTCTCTCTCTCTTGTCGCGGGTATGACTGCTGAGTGTGTGCGAAGTGTCGGGATCGTGAGCAAGCAAACAGCACACCGAGAGACAACAGGCCGCAGATTGTGAGCGCGGGAGAGCGGGCGACGAACATTCGGGCGCGCAAAGCACTTTGCAGCCGGCCCCTTCCTTCGGTTTGGCACTCGACGTTCCCGCCCAGCCGGCGAACAGCGCTGCTGTTGTCGTCATGCGAGCAAAATATAACATAATCGAGAGGGAAATGCATTGTAGTCCAATGAGGACAAAACAAAAGAAAAGGAATGCACCTCAAGAAAACTAAGGAAATGGTCCTTCGCAACTTGGAACGATACAGAGAAGATTAGCATGGTCCCTGCGCAAGGGTGACACGCATAAATCGAGAAATGGTCCAAGTTTTTGACGATTGTTTGTGTTTGGGCATGTGTTTGGGCATGGTCTTTGTTCAGGGGGGGCCAGGAAATGCACACGTATCTTGTTGTTTTCTTTGTTTTTTGCTTTCTCTTTTTCCTGTTTCTTTTTAGGAACAGACGAAAATTTCAAAAAAGAAAAACAGGGGCCACCACACGCGGCGGAGCACTACGTGTGTGATGATTCAAAAAAAGGAAAACGGGGCGGGTCAAGTGTCACTTCTTCTGTTTTCCTAAGGCGGAAATTTGATTACGGGCCCAGCCGGGTCCAGTGTCCCGTCGCAGGCTTCAGTCCATTGGTGGGAGCATCGCCTGCTGGAAACACAGAGGCACAATTTTTCTTTTTTTCGCAGGCTTCAGCCCATTGGTGGAGAGCATCGCCTGCTGGAAACGGGGTCCAGCGTCCCTCTTTGGATCATCATATGGTGTTGTCATGTAGTCCGTTGTCTTTGGAAAACATGTTCACAGGCACCACTTTTATCCTTTCTCATAACCCTGTCAACTTGCCTCCTATATACTCGTCCTTACTCAGCAAAAAACCCATCTTTCGAAGGACAGCAACCAGCAAAACAGAGCTTACTGGGACCATTACCCAGAGTAGGTGCAGGAAATATGGAACTTACCCTAGGAACAGTCAATCCTGAACCCTGGTTCCAGAGAAAAGAAAACGAAAGCCGCTGTCCTCAACCCTCATTCCTGAGAAAAAACACGGAAACCACAAGTTGTTGCTGACAACGGAAAGACCGACGACCAACCGGAAATTGAGACACGCCACACTTGCAGGAGAGGAAGTAGAAGGAAAGAAGAAGAAGAAGAAAAAGAGGCAAAGAGAAGAAGTAACCCACGCATTATAGTAAAAACCTCCCGAGCGTAACTCATTGAAAACCAGTTGAGCAAACATACCGGTGTTGTCTGGTTGCGAAACCAGTCCTCATAGATCCTGTCAGTGCAAAATAATGAATGCTAGCACTAATCTATATTGGACTCGAAGAAGGTAAAACCACGTCTACGTACTCAATTCTGCATCGTCACTTTCGAAACGAAAGATAACTTCCCCCCGAGCAGGCTCTCGCTATTACGTCAAATATCATCCAACTAACTCAACTTTGATGACATACCGTTGGGAGTTCAAATCCAAACAACCTAGAAAATCTTCAAGCCTAATGTTATGCCACTTCCTTGCCAAGCGGTAGCGATTCGAGTCCAAATCAGAAAAACTCCAAACAGGCCACCGAAAGTTGAAGTCCTCAAAACCCTTACAATCGTCGTTACCGCCTCGTAACCCTGATTGGTTAAAAATCGACCACCTACTCCAAACCTTTCAAAATAAAATTATGCCTAGATTTTTAGAACATTTGTTTGACGTCAAACGATGCACCCAACAAATAACCCATTTTCCTCAATTATTGATTTAACTCTAAAATATTCTCGACAATCCGTGATAGTTCTAGGATTGAAATGAAAGGAAAAGATAACGTTTTATAACAAAAGGTTCACAATGCATTAAATTTGTCGCTCGCTGGTAGTGTTGCACTCAGAAAATGGCATATTGGAAGCTATCGCCCTACATCTTTGTGTTTGGGTACGTAATACAGACTACCAAAAGTACGATGCGTATCACATTCTGCAATCGAGCGGTCGTGGCTACACCCAGCCCAACCTAGTTGTACCCGATGGCCCTGAGTGAAGTAATGGTCTAGGTACGGATCACGGTCAGGTGGGATTTTTAGGCAGATTACCCGAAAGGAAAGATGGTGAACTTGGGGGGGAAATTTCACTGTTTTCATCGACAATTTTTGTGCAAATTTCAGTAAAAATTCGAAGAGATGATTAACCGAGGACCGAAAATAATCGTTTCCGCCGACAATTTTTGTGTAAAATTCAGCAAAAATTCCAAAAACGAACGATATGAGTCCATAATGCAAACATAAAAAAAAGTCGTTCTCTGTTATGGGTTGGGTGCAATTTTGGTTTCCGGGCAAGTCAAGCTTCAGGTTGGGAAAAAAACAAAAACAGTTTGAGCTAAGTGAAGTTTGGGAATATTTTGAAAAGTGGTTACGGGTTGGGTATGACTGAAAAATATTTTGAAGTGTAGCTCCGAGTTAGGCCTGGGTAGCAAGAAAGACAAGGTTTGTCAGCATTGCTTTCTGTTTTTGCCACAGACTATAATTTTGATTGAACATACTTATGTATGCACCAAGTGAGTACTAACTTTATATTTTCTTTACGGACAAAGAAGAAGGGGTTGTCAAAAAACAACTTGATTCAACTATATCTAAAGATGATGGGACAATAGATATAGGTGTCCCCTATATAATAGCTAAAGGGAACACAAACAATACAATTAACCGTTGCAACTGAAAATTAACAATCTCGACACTTTCATAGGTAGTAGATGGTCAGTGATTATAACATAGATACATATCGCGCCAAAAAAAAAAATCTTAGATAATGGAGAGAGAGAGGGAAGAGAGTTGAAAACCGTAGTAATCTGCTTACAGAGGCTGGAAACAAAACGAGAGTAAAACACATATAGATGAATTGTGTTACAAAATTTTAACAAGATTGCAGGAAAGAGATATTTTTCACTCATCGAAAATGAGATATGACATTCATGACTGGAAAACCATAATTACAACAAGCACACAAACAAAATATTTACTCATGTTTTACTACACTCCAAAAGTTGTGGAAAATATATTTTACCATTTTATTTCGGTATGACATGATTCACATTCTTCAGATCAACAAATCCCTCAAAGCATATTAAATCACTAAAGAATTAATCACTTTCACACAAGGACCATCGACCCTCGCTCTGGTTACTTCAGCATTGTTCACAATGCAAATTATTAAAAGTTGACGAACGTATACATTAAAAAATCATATAGCGATGTCGGACAAAATGCACTGTAACAAAAACAAATACACATTTTAGTAAACAATCGTACAACAAGGAAAACTTTTATTACCTGTTCAAAACTCAATTGCATAAATATTGACATTGGACTAGGGTTTTTGAAAAAAATAGTCAATGATTGTTTTGATATCAATGAATTATTCATTAAAAGAACTACAAAATGAAAGTTGAAAACAACCCCGCTCTTCACTCATTCCCTAGCCTGTCGTGCTTAGGTTTTACTATTTCGAACATGACCCTACATGTGCACAAAAACATTGCCTATGGACATTTCCCGAGTCGCAAAATGTATCTCTCTTTCATATGGTAGCACAATGTATTACGTTATTCTCAACACACTAATCCAAAATTATACGTAAAATATTTTTTATAACATCCGTATCATAGTGAAAATTAAAAAAAAACTTGAAGTTTTTTTTTTAATCTCAATCTCTCAGGCGGAGTATGTCGGCATCGTCTAGTTTTATGAGACTTGTCATGTGCATTGAGGGGAA